GGCTAACATGGAATCGAAAATGGAATCCAAACCATGTTTTCATTAGATCGAAAGCAGAACTTACGGATCATGCCAAGAACTCCAGAACATAGACATTCGATTTGATTAAAACTTTTATCTAATCAAATAAATGCTTCATCATAATATTGAACGATGGAAGACAAAACCCTAATTTCTGTATAAATTCTCTAAAATACCACACCAGGTGGCATATGTTCTAGGGTAGTTAGTAAGGTAGTTACCTTGCAGATTTTCATCGGCATGATTACTAAGTTTGTATCATTTCTTAGCGAAGAATTTTGTAAAATCTTAATACTGTTGTTTTTATATAGATCATCATCAATTCCAGATTCAAAAAGTTTAATAACTTGATGTTCATTACAATTATTGTTTTCTAAAATTAACAATAGTGTTTAATCGCTCCTTGGCTTTACTAATGTGTGTCATCCAATTGAAATAATAATTAATTTATAATATATAAAATACTGAAACTCATGTATAAATAGTATGTATTGGAAGGTCACTTTTGAAGTGTACGCAAATGTATTTTATCATCTCGATAAATGAAAAGCGAAAACTGTCAAGCCAAACCTTAGATTTCCACCAACTTGTAAATATGATTATGTATCAAGTAAAAGACTCACAAACTGTACAGTAAAAGGAAAAATTAACCACTTCATGAATCTTGACAGGTATTAAAGACCTTATTGTTTCATTTCGCAGTTGACAACTTCCTTTGACGTATAAATTAAGAGCATATGTATGTATATTCGTCGTTTTTACAGTTTTTTGAAATGCTTTTAAAATTGATTTTGACACGTTGGGATTTAGGACAGTTCTGATGGTCGAAACCGTAAACTAAAAAACGCTTTTATATGAACGAAAGATAAAAAAGGTCGATCGTTTACGGTGCGTTTAGGGATCAGAGCTGGGTACCCAGGTGCGATTTGTTTCTGCCATTTATTTGTTGAAAAAGGATCGAAACTGAGTATCGTTACGATATAAATGTCGACGCTCCCTGGGAACGTGCACTTTGTAAACAACGACGTTCGTTATCGGTCCATTTATTCAAGGTATCGCGGTTATTGTTCTACCGGTTAAGCGCCTTACACGCATTCAAACGAGCTTTCGATTATAATTTATCGCGATCTCTTGAACGCCTCAACCTCCTTCCATTATTATAGGCGCAAACCTTCGGGAACAGGATATTTCTTTTGAAGCATATACAATCAATTTCTCCCCTTATACTTGTCAAATGCAAACGAATTCATATAGTAATAAATTAAACCAGTGAAAATTATTTATAAATAATACAACAACTCTAATTAAATATTGAAAGCTATTACACACAAAATAATCCTCTAAAAACGCATTTACATTTCCTCTTCGCTAAATGGGAAGTAAACCGAAAACGAACAGACAAAATGACTGTATTTATGCCACTTTTGGTCGAAATGAATTGCTAAAAGTTAGTAATGCGTATTCCAAAGAAGTTTCTACCATTTCAACTATATTTCGCCTTTTTTTTAATCTTAAAAAAAAATAAGTGTCGTCATTTACTGGAGAAGACTGGCTGATGGCTAATTCTCACTAATCCATTTTCAATTCATCAAAAAAATTATTATCTAAATAAAAATGTACTAAAAAAACATTTAACGTAATCATCTGGCTACACTTTTTAAAATGGTATAAGAAATAATTAAGTACCTACTGTGAAACATCATTCCCGATATTAATATCACATCTATACTTATAATTAGAAAGCGCTCCTTTCTATTAATGTAGTGTTGGTCCTTTAGATTCTGTTATGATTATGTTAAATTTGAATTTATATTTAACCCGTAATTTTTGTCGATGAATTTATGCTAGAGATATTGCGTTATTTGTATATCAAAATATAATTACTAATTTCATATGAAAATTCTCGTTCCGATTAACAGATAAAAGCCAATAATGTCCACAACAAACGCATTACAATGTTCTAAATTGTTAATAAATTTCAACTTCAAAAGCAATTAAAACTTTAGTTGAAACATAAAGAGAGTGCGGTACTTGTTGGCTCAAATCAAGACTCAATCTGGGAAAACAATTAAACAAAAGGTGAAAGAAAAGTGGAAATTACAGTTACCTTTTGAATTATCTCAGAATGACTTAAAAATTATATTTCAGACTTAGCATTCAAATTAAAAAATTAAGAAGGACAGTAATTCTTTCGATGAACAATCTCCAAACCATCATTATTTACGGAGACATTTAAAACGTAGTTAAAGATGCAGAAATGTAGGATTTTATTAAGAGTTTTTAAATAAAACTGAACGTGAAACGCTGATGCTTTGGTTTTGCTCATTACTACCATAAAGCAGGGTGTCTTAATGTTTTATCCTAATTAAGAAATACCGTTTTTGGTTTCATATCTGCTTTACGGGTTGTGCCTTCTCAAAACTTCTTTCAAGATTTCTCGCCGAAATTACTACGATGCGACTTTTACAAAAGACAACTTTTGTTCGAATATTTTTAACTAAAACCGTTTAATTTTTCGCCGTGCTGAATCGCCTTCCGGATCATTAGTAAGCCAGCTCGTTTGATGTATGCATTCCAAAGGGATGCAAGAGGAAACAATTCTTTGTGCGACATTTTTCTCAAGCATTTTTCAAACCCCGTTCCGTTGCAATATTTGCATTCCAGCTGAATGTGTGCATTATACGCTTAAATAAGAAAATCAAACGAGTTATGAATACGGTCTAGGGTAGGCGAATACTGCAGATGACAATTTGCACCCCATCTATTACGGAATGGGGTTAACGACCCACTCTGTGCAATGCTCGTCCATATTCTTTCCTGCGCGCCAATCGAGGACCTTTGTCACAGACAGATGGAAAAAGACATTGGTATATATGCACCTTTATGTTTGAATGGTTCTTGGTTCTTGCTATCGAACTACACAATAAATGGTTTCTTGCAGAAAGAATTTAAAAAAAATATTAACAAGAAAGAGGGAGTGAGATCCCCTAGACAAAATTTTTCAGTCTCTCTCCAGTCTCTCAGAGTCTTTCAGCGTCTCTGAGAGCGTCTCTCACAGTCTTTCAGTCTCTCAGTTATTGCCTAAGTGTTTTTATGGATCTCTCACAGTCTCTGAATGAGAGACTCGAACGATAAAATTGTTAATTCAGAGATTCGAGTCTCTCGTTCAGAGACTGGCTACCAAATGAGGATCTCTCTATGAGCGACTCGAGTCTCTCGTTCAGAGACGCTGAACAATTTCTCTCTCAGCGACACCAGAGAGACTCGATGAGAGACGGAGACTCAAGTCTCGCTTTCAGAGACTCTGACAGACTGAACATTTTTATCTAGGGTCTACAATGAGTACTTTTTAGAAAAACACACAACGACAAAACTTAATAGACCATGTGCTAGAGACGTTAAATAAAGTATTTTCTGTTTTGAACTGAATTTAGTTACTTTTATATGTACCCACAAAAATACGACTTCTTGTTTTGAGCGGGGTCCAGGCAGAGAAGTAGTATAATTATGCAGTTAACGAGAAGCGCTGGCCTCTTGCAGACCTAGAGCGCTTGGCAGCATTACTACGGCCCAGTAGCCTTTTTGCCGAGCTCGAACTTTTAGAAAAGGAAGTGGCCGTTTTCCGTACTGCATCCTGGCAGGAATTAATAAATTACGAACTTGTCACCCAAATGAAACATGAATAGCTCCAACCCTTAAATATATATACCTTCTCTCAAAAGGGTCGACCGCTATAACTATCGAAGAAAAATTCAGTTTTCCTTATTACTAATATATGTCTGCCAAAGTCTTCATTTCATTGTTAAACTTGTACTATCTACGTATTGTTCCTGCATGACATTTGGACTTAATTGCAAACATATTTATAATTATTGATCGGTTGGCAAAACATTTTTTAATAATATGATTGGTGCGACAAGGTCAAAACGCATAAATTGAACTTTTAGCGAACAGATTAGTACAAGGTAATTGAAAGAAGTAAAAAATATCGAAAATAATTAGTTTGTCTCTATATTTCAATCGCGTTATCCAGGCATAGGAACAAAGAACACTTCCTCCGATGACATTCTTGTAGATCCCTTTTTTCAAACAGTTGTAGTTTCTTTTTATTATATATTTAGTGTTAAAATATAGTACAGCAAACTGAAAATTTCATATAACAAAAATGATTTGTTCCAAAAAAAAGAATATTTAAAGTTGCTTCAAATAGTTTAACTCATAAAATGGCAACACAACCGAAACAGAACAGAGTAAATTAAAATGTACTATTCTAGAGAAAAGTATTAACAAACTGTTTTTATTACTAATCATTACTTTTATATAAAAACATTCTTCCTTTTAATTAAAAAAATGTTTATAAAACCGGCATGATCCAGTCAGGAAGAAAGTTCGTGATCGAAATGGAAAATACAGAAATCGGGTATAATTCAGACAACTTGTGAGAAGAAGTCAATTTTGTTTTTCGCATCTCTCAAGTGAGTTGGGAGAAAAATAATCTAAAATTCGTGTATGCTAAATTTCAAACTCTATTTCACGGTACATCTATTTTATGAGAAGACGCGTTACATCCGAAAACTGATTCCTTATAACAAAAAGTAAAACCAGAGACAGAAAGAAGATGGCACTTAAAAATGCTGAAGTAATTTAACCGAGAAGTAAAATAAAACCACGATTAATTATTGTGAAACCAATTTTCATAGTAGATTAACATTCTTGTTTGACAGAATTCGCCCGATGGGTTGTAACTAAATTAATTTAAATTCTTACGAAATTTCACTTTCTTACTGAAGTACTTACTTAAATATAATAATGAAAATACATGAAAAATACTTTTTGGGTTTCGAAATTTTAATTATACATTCAGCGTATATTAGCTATATATTACCCTCTACTTTAATTTACAAATCATATCATTATCGTTAATTTCCACTAGACACATTCTAGTACATGAAAATTTACAAATTCTTCTTTTGTTTTAGGTTTTTTAAATGTAAATACAGATCCGTACTCCAAATCGCCAGCAAACTATGGTCTTATGGACCAAATAGCTGCCCTCCATTGGCTACAAGAGAATATTGCCGTATTTGGGGGTGATCCTACGAATGTTACTGTAATAGGCCATGGTACTGGTGCTGCATGCGTAAATTTTCTGTTAACTTCAAGTGCTGTGCCAGAAGGTAAACTATTGAATTATATAAATCTATTTTATTTATTCTTAATGGTGGAATATTTTCTTAAAATTTAAATGAAAACATCGGCCTCAAGATGTAGCCTATCCAATAAAAGGGAATCATTAAAATCGGCGAAGAAATCGCGTAACATTCACAAAAATAATAGTCAAATTGAGAATCTCCTTCTTGTGAAAATGTTTGATTTAATTAATAAAGCAAATGTGAATTAAAAAATGAAAATTGAGTGTCTAATTAATATCCGAATATTTGCAACAACAGAAATCGTTAGGTAGTTGTACAAAGTAAGGAAGTTTTATTATTTTATTTTAAGAAAAGTAAATGTATACACTTTTACAGTACGCATTATTCAGTTCTTTTTCTTTTTAAATTTCGTTGGTGACTTTAATACAATTTTGAAGATAATGATCTCTCGCTCAACTTCGCGTTAGACCCTTACATTAAATTTTTTATCGTCTCATTTTTATCTCAAGATAAAAACGAATCCAATTTTCATACACTCGTAAATAATTTTATACATTTACATTATTAAATTTAACTAACCGGCTTCAATAAGTACACACAGCCAGAAAACTGAAAGAATTTGCAAGTTGATTCGGGTACGTATCATGGTGTTTCACTAGAATTTGCTGAACTTTGCACTTCATCAAAACGCATAACTATTTCGATAAAAAATAGTGATCGGGAAAACATCCGTGGTGGCAAAATTTATAACTCGAATGAGGGAAAAATTTACATAGGAACTGTGCACGCAAATTGTAAAATTGTTTAATAAAATAATAAAACACGTTAAAAAAGTAAAAATTTTTTTGATGATGGAGTCGACGAAGTTTTCTTCTAAAGTTAAATTAAATAAAAAGTTAATATGTTCAGTGAAAAGCTGCAATAGCACGTAGATCTTCACCCTTCACCTACATTAACTACTTTCCAATAAAAACTAACCGTTTTATATCACCCAGAATCACCTCACCAATTATATAACGTGAATCACTTTTTAAATCCGAAGTTTGTAAAAAGTAGGCAGTAAACTTGACGGAATTTGAAGGCTAGCTTCCGGATTTGTTATTTCCGAATTTTATAATGTGATTGGCATTAAAAACACGCTCACCTTCAACGAAATTTCCTTTCCGAGGCTTTGTGTCATCCCAATCACATATTATGTCAATACTTATCATTTTATCGTAATTTAAAAACTTGGAAATTGCACGGTACACTATAGGAACTACGGTAAATTTTCCCTAATCGGCGCCATGTTTTTAGGCTCCTCCCATTTGACGGATCCCAATAGAAGTGACTACTTTTTGTTGAGGGCGACTCGACCCAGCGCTATCCTCTATTGTATATCTCCAGTTGTCCTTCCATCCTGAATTAACTGACATCCTAGGTACCAAAAAATTAGCCGGTTGTTCTAATTTTTCGTCTCCTATCTTTATATTCGCTCCTTCCTTACTTTTTCTTCCCTTGCTTTATTTTTATTCCGTTATATAGCGTATTAAAACATTGGAAAATCATTTTCAAGCTTAACATTAAGCTGAATGATGTAATTTATAGACGTTAGTTGGAAATAAGAGAGATATGAAAGTTTTAACAAAGGCACTCGCGATCCCGTTTATCAACGGTAGACGCCCAATAAGGGAGAATGTCTTGAATCGTCGCCAACTGGTGTTGTTAGCGACGGGCGCTAATTGACTTATTGGCTGGATATAAATCTTAACCATAATCTTAAAAAAAAATGCTAGAAGTGGAATATATGTACATGCATATAAAGCAATATGTTTTGCTAAATGTTACAGATAGATATATTAATGGTATTTTTATGTTACGGAAACAGAAATAAACAATTTAGTTTCTTATTTAGTACTTTGTTATTAGCTACAAGAGCTTTTTCGAGAGTTGTAAATGTTTGCGAATACAATTGCTGTTTTAGACAAACAATTTCTTATTATGAAAACCTTACTGGTTCATTTCTAAGATTTCAAGCTTAAAAAGCATTTTTCTTGTTAAATATAACTCAAAATAAAGTTTTAATTAAAAGATGACAAAAAATTGTAAAAGTAAAATATCTGCAGCCTACCCCTCTTACTTTAATAAGTAAAATACGTTTCGTAATTTGAAAGAAATTTGATGTAATGCGTGCTCTATTACCTGAATCAGTTTTCCTACTCCCAAAGTCAATTCCTGAACAGCATGTAACTGGGAAGTTCGTGCATCTGACTGCTACAAAATACATTTACAGTTTCCCAAAGCGAGCACAGTTGCTTTACTAAAGACGTAAAGTCAATGGAAAATAGCTTCTGAAATGGTTATTTCGCGTCAAACTAGGACAATCGGTCTCAATAATGCCGCACATTGTATCCGGCAATGATGTTAAACTGAATCTGCAATTCTACGGTAGCGATTTAATTTGGAAATTACTTAAACATAGCAGCACGTGTAGTATAAAAACTCATTTAAATTATTATGAAATTTGTTATGTCAATGAAGATGCTTTAACGGAGGTATTTTAATAAAAGTAACAAATAACTTTAAAAGCAAAAATATAATAAACAAAAACCCTGTAAAATGAAAATTAATCTAATCATAAATGCGAGCTTATAAATTTAACATATATCAGGCTTACAAAGTTTATTTTTTCCAAATCCGCTGAAAGTAATACGCAAATTTTGATAGGTGCATATTTCAAACTGCCAAAGTCAAAAATATAAACTTCAGTTTGATCTGTACCTAACTTAATTAACCGGGAAGTCTCATGTACAAGAAGTAGAACGTTGGGAAATCTCACTCCTTCCTTAACGTTTCCAATATCAATATAAAAGCATCAGATTCTACTTAGGGTCCATCACAGTGCGTTTTGAAACATTAGAGAATTATTCTAGGATGTCCTTTTAGTATGTTCTTTTTTCCTTGTTTACAGGTGTGTTGTTTCACCGGGCAATTCTGATGTCAGGTTCAGCACTATCTCCTTGGGCCTTGGTACAGGAACCGTCCCGTTATGCAGCGCAGGTGGCCATCCACGCAAACTGCTCTCCTGAACTGCCGCAGCCTCATCTTCTCAAGTGCCTTAGGGAACGGCCGCTGGATCTCCTAATGTCCACTCCCGTTCACCCTCCAGACTTTGCATTTGCCTTCGGACCTAGCGTTGACGGTGTTGTTATTGACACAGGAGAACCTCCCGGTAAATGTCTCATACACTACTTTTCGTATATAGAAACGAATCATTATCATCATCGTTATCAGAAGGTCTTCAGCCTAAAGACTGGTTGGAGGTACACCTCCACCTTTTCCGACTCTATGGAAAACTAGAATAATCTAAATTTCTAAATATCTATTTGTGAACAATAATCTAATCCAGATCTACTTCTGCTCTCCTAATATTTTTTTCTCCTTCTTGTATGTCTCTAACTAGCTCTTCGTATCTGAGAAGGAGTCTTACCAATATACCTCGCCTATTTCTTCCTGATTTCCATATTTACTCTCTAATACGTCCTTATTTCTAAACTATTCCATCCACGGTATTCTTAACATCCGCCCATCACGCCACATTTTAAACGCTTAATGTTTAAATGAAAAGTATTCTACAATTTCGAAAATATTCTCCTTCTGAACTATATGTCATTCAGTCAAATGAAAGAAATTATGTCAAACTTCTATTTCATTTTAATAAAACCTAAACTATTTTTAAGGTAGGTATACTATACCAAGGGACCTCCAAGGGACATATCCATCTATTATTGTAATATGTGGATGCTAAATATAACTTATTTACTTCAATATTGCTTTCCTAATCTAATACGTGACGCTTCAATGCAATAAACTTAATTGTATTTCTCCTATCAATCACTTCGATTCTTTTTCATTCACGTCCGTAAATTCTAAACGGTTTTTTTATGTTTTCCTTCCCTTTTCACTTTTACGAAACAAATTACATGGCGTATTTACCGTGTCGAACATCATGTTTGCCCTGGTAAGTAAATTTGCTTTTATTTTTAGAAAGCCCACATTACACTGATTTCGAATCGGTAATTCCCCGAAAAGAGGAACCGCTAAATGCCATTAACATTTTGGACAACGTTCTTCTAAAAAAGCCCGCTTTAGCAAAGCTATCCCGGTACGATCTTCTCTTGGGAATAGTCAAAGCCGAAGCCTATTTCGCATTTAACAGTGAGGATGACCAATACGGAATCGAAGCAGATAGAAGGTTTACAAATTTACAATTTATTCTAGTTTTTTAAATTTTCTTCTAAACTAAGTTCTTAACAAATGTAGCATCGTGCTACAGATGGCGTTCACTGCGCCATTTGTAGTATTTTCTAAAACGCACTGTTAAGACAGCAGGTAAAAGTTGGTCTGTGTTCTGTCGGAGCTGCCTGCGACGCGCTGATGAGATCCAAAAAGATCGAAATCGCGATCCGCGTCTGGCAGTTTCGACAGAATACAGACCACTTCGAATTATTTCATAAGTTTTTTACGTTTTAGATCAAGAATATTAAGGACGTTTGTAAGAAACACTTACAGTTATCACCTCTCAGAAATTTTAGCAACGATTGTAAATGAATATACGGATTGGGAAAGGCCTGTACAACACCCCATAAATATAAGGGATGAAACCCTCGAAGCCCTGTCTGACGCTCAGTATGTCGCTCCTGTCATACATACTGCCGATCTACATTCCACTGAACATCGGAATTCCTTCCTGTACGTTTTTGACTATCAAACGAAATTTGGTGACTACCCGCAGGTAAGTTCCACAAATCAATTGTTTCCTAATTTATCCTGTGTTTAAGCATAGTATCTACCTAAAGTCAGTAATTCCGAAGAGAAAACAGAAATTCATGCGAACATGTTTAATGCTTAAAGCAACATGTGATTAACTTTAACTGAAACTAATTAGTTCTACTACTGCATCAATAATTTTATTCGCTATGTAAACATTATTTGTAACTCTGTTATTTGATGTTCGAAGACAAATGTTAATTTGGTTTGAAATTAATAGTTTACAGAGCTCGCTAATATGCCAATTTCATTAAATTCGAAATTAAACTGCACATTCTGCAAACAAATCACAATTATTACCTAGTAAATATGATACATTTTACAGAAAAGAGGAAGGAACCAAAACACTGTATTTAACTAACACTAACGTAAATATTGATAACTCATCAACGAAACAAGCCCATTGGTATCAATGGTACGAAAATCTTTCGTTAGAAATTCTCAAACTAAAAACACATTCACAATTCCATACATCGCGTCAACCTTTTTCTACGTTTTCATTCAATGTCTCGCCATAACACTTTCAAACATCGAACCTTATTGATATAATCGCTTTTGCATTAGCTTATTGAGTTTTATCCTTCTCAAATCCAATAAACGAAGGTAAGTGAAAATGTTAATATTGCACTTTTTTGTTGCTTTGGCTTCGATGTGATCGAGAATAATAAAGAAAATATCCACCAGACGGAGCTTTACGTGTGAGCTTTTACAGCCACCCTCGTGGTTACCCACAAAAGATCGAAAACCATTAGAAAAGCCTTTGTAAGAAAACGAGATGAGAAGTTGTTTTAGTTTTGTTTGTCAACAGAAACCTCAAAAGATGAAGGATAAGTACAAAAATGTATTTTTGAAACGGTGTCATCTACTTTGAAATATAAGACGGGAAAACGGTTTTCTTCGTCTAATATATTATAAACTAATAATATTTTCTCAAAGAAGTATATGTAAATGACCTTTATCAATATCATTGTTAGAAATATGTTTATAACAAAATTACGACAAATTGTTTTAAGCGATTTTCAATTATATTAATTAATTCAAACTGCAAAATCGCCTTTTACAAAATATTTCGGATATAACGACGACGAAGGGACCACTATAATTTCGTCGTTATATCCGGATGTCGTTACAGGCAATCACTCAATTTAAGAATTTTAAAAAACTAATAATATAAATA